GAGAGAGTGACTTTCAGCTAGTGTGAACTGTACAGCAGTTGAGTTGTTTGGGTTTTTTCATTATATTTGGAGAGAGTGACTTTCAGCTAGTGTGAACTGTACAGCAGTTGAGTTGTTTGGGTTTTTTCATTATATTTGGAGAGAGTGACTTTCAACTATTTGAACTGTACACAAGTTTGTTAGTTTGGTTTTATGAAAAGTTCTTTTAGCATCAAAAAGTTGATTCAATTTTTTTTGTTTGTTTTTGCAGGATCTTGGAGTAATGTTTACTTCTGTAGGGATGTGTATACAGGCTGTTGATGCTTACACGAAGGTAAACTATGTTATTGTAGTTGGAGTAAGTTAAGGACATATTAACCATTTTAGAAATATTCTACAAATTCCTGGTTACCACGGGTTTCTATTTATTTGTCAAACTATGAGAACTTCTTTGTTTGCACTATAACCTTAAATAAAAAAAACGTGTTGGTTAATTATATAACCACTAACAATATATATAGGTGCTGATAATGTTCTTCATCATGCTGATAGAGTAATATGTGGCTATAAAGCACTATAAACATTTTTTTAAAATCTTTACTGGATGTATTTAAAACTCTGTTGTGATGTAAACATGGTAGGTCATAGAAATTGTTCTGATGTAAACATGGTAGGTCATAGAAATTGTTCTGATGTAAACATGGTAGATCATAGAAATTGTTCTGATGTAAACATGGTAGGTCATAGAAATACCAAACTTAATACTACAAATGAAAATGTAGTACCATATTTCATTCAGGCTAATAAGATCAAAACTGCCATCGAATGTTGTGTGGCTCTAAGCCAGTGGAACACTGCCGTTTATTTGGCTCAGAAACATAATGTTCAGGAGATTGATGGCCTTCTTAGCAAGTACGCACGCTACCTGATGGAGAAGAAGAAGATTATGAGTGCTGTGGAGTTGTATCGAAAAGCTCATCGGTTTTTGGATGCAGCAAAGATGGTGTCGAAGGTAAAACAAACTGAATATTCATTTATACAGAACACGAGTGTAGTGTAGGTGGTTATAAAAGTCATGGGATGTGTGTCTGTAGTTTAAACCTACAGAAGACTTTTTTTTTTTGCTTTTGGTAGTGTGTTTGCATATGTTTCTGTTATTTAGAGGTTTCTATATCTTGAATAAAATATCTGGCCTTTTTTTAACCTTATGTGCACTGGTGGGGGTTAAAGTGTGTATGGCAGAATTTTTACACAGTTACACTAAAAATTTAATTAAACAACTTTATTATTAATGTTTGAAAATGTAATTTATAATTCAAATTTTAATATCATATAAGTTTTAGTTAGTTAATTTGAAAAGGAAATAGTTAAATAAATTCTCTGTTTACATTTTTCTTTCATCCCTTATATGTGTTTCAGAAATGCCCACCAATTGGATACCCCCAACTATAGATAGTTACTGACAGGCCAGAATTTAAATTAAGAACATCCCACTTTCTTTACTTTTTGAGATATCGATTAATTTGTTACACTCACAGAAGCTTCTTCCAACTCCTCATGCTTTTAAAGTTACTTATTTACCCATGTGTACTTGTCAATGGTACATTCTTATAACCAATATAAATACCTTTTTGTGATTATAATGTCTTTATGTTAATTTATTTCAGTAAAAGGTGCTATTTCCTAAATAAATATTATTGATTGTAGACTAAAGTTGGTACTTCTAAGAAATAAAACTTTTATAACCTATATATATGTTAGTTAGAAGTCAGTTTTAGTAGTTTTGAAGTATTACTGTTTTACTATTTCAATTATTGTTTGTGATTTAAAATGTTTATTTGAAAGTAGTTTTTGAACAACTCGTATAATGAAAAAAAGTAATCTTAGCAACATAAGCTAAGAATGCATTTTCAAGTCCAAGTAAGCAATGGTAAGCTGTAAGTTTAATGTTTTTATATACATTTTTTAATTATTGGTATATTTTCTTTTTTACACAACAGTAAGTAAAATATAAAAAACTGAAAACTTTATAGGTTAGATAAGGAAACTAAAAAAATTTACATAAATTCCTGAATGAGATATGACTCAAGCTTCTCGTACATTATGTAATTTCCTCTTGCCAGGTGATTTATTACACTATTTTAGTAGTTAGAGACAGTTCAATTTTGTCGACAATGATTTTGATACAATTAGTTAGGGTAGAGAAGATAAGAGGTAAAGAAAGTTTTACTGAAAAATCACGTTTGTTATTCGTTTAGGTGTATCTAGAGGTTAAATATGCAAACTGTTTGATGAAAAAAGTATTTTTATTCTTAACTTAAATTCCCTTGCACTCATACTAGTCAGAGTCTGAGTCAGACTAACTTCATAAATCAATTGAAAAATCTTTAGTGAAAATGTTTTTTCCAGTAACTCTCAATTAACATAAATTGGCTGCCCTCAAATTTAAATTTTTTTCTAGGCGCCCTCTATTTTAGTATATAAGCCCGGCAAATAAAGCGGAGATATAATGGCAGATAGACAGAGATAGATAATTTGAGTCAAGAAAGCAGTAGGCACTGTAAGTAAATTGTGTGAATTGCTGTGAATTAGAGCATGTACTTATAAAAGTAGTTAAGTTTAAAGTGACTGTGGAAATTAAGTGTATTACAAAGTTTGTAACGAGAAAGAATAAACTAGTTTTAGTTAAGATAGGACTTTTATCGCTGAAGTTTCTCGGAAAGAAATTTTACGGGAAATTATCAAACAAGCAGATACGTAACACTATCTTCATCAGACTCACATCTCTTCCAGCTTTTCCTTTAGCAGATCGAGTAGTCTCTCGTAGGTGAGCATGGTGTTCTTCAACTAATAAAGCTGCTAGGACGTGAAGTTTCTTCAAACATAGGGGAGACGTATTGCGATGCGTTTCTACTTCTGCAATCTACACAGAATACCATTAAGAAACAGTCATAAGAAGGCTAAAGAGTTGCCAGGAACAGTCATAATCCTTCTAGAAACTCCAACTCGCATGCTTCCAGCGTCACATGACTTCTGCTGTCATAATAATAGTTTTATACCAATAAAGCCTTCTCAATACCATTCTGTCTGGCCAAGTACAAATGTTACTGTTAGTTAATTGGTTTATCTGTCTGCAGTACACCTAGAATGTAACAAAGGATGAATCACTAGGCTGTTTTACTAGCCTTACCCATGATTGTAAACTCTTTAAACCCATAATTGTTTTAGTGTTCTGCCAAATTATTTTCATGATGTCCTAATGATTATCACCATACCTTATAAAATTTCTAGTATATTTATAAAAGTTGGATAATAACATGGTTTGGATTAGTTTTCAGCCAAAAGAGACATAAATGTTATTGGATGCTGTCACCATCCGATAGTTAAATCGGGATTTTCAGCCAGACACTGTCACCATCAGCTTGGGTTTACAGTAGTCAAATAAGTCTGTAGAAGAAGAGCATTGAAGTAACCTTTCTACTGTTTTCCATTTCAATAAGAATTTGTTTAAAACTATTATGTCAAGAGTTTAATGTGTTCAAAACCAAGAACTTAGAATAAAACTAAAAAACAGCTGTTTCACAACAAAAAATGTATAGAATGATTTTTCAGGTTTCTTCAGCGATTGCTTCCTTGCTGGACAATGAAGCTCTAATGTTTAGTGATACTCGTATAGTGGACCAGCCTTGGCGAGGTGCTGAAGCTTATCACTTCCTACTTCTTGCTCAGAGGCAGCTGTACGAAGGTAAGCTTACTTCCTACTTTTTTCTGAGAGGAAGCTGTGTGAAGGTGTCACTTTGTACTGTGTGCTTATAATCAGCTGTGTGAAGGTAAGCCTTACTTCCTACATCTTGCCCAGAGTCAACTGTGTGAGAGTAAGCCTTACTTCCTACATCTTGCCCAGAGTCAACTGTGTGAGAATAAAGCTCACTTTCCACCTTTTGATCAGAAAGTCTGTAAAGGTAAGGCTCACTTTTTACTTCCTGGCTCAAAGACAGCCGTATTATGTGTAAATTTTACTTCTTGGTTAGATAACACTCTAAGCATGTTAAATTAAGTATTACTCGATTATAAATTAAAATACAACTGTGAGCAATATCCTAGATGTGTACAACTGAGAAGTGTGTGCCCCAAGAAATAATTCATTTGTTATTTTTTATAATATTGGTCTGTGTTGAAGAGTTTATTTTAAAAAATAATAAGTATTCTTCAGAATTGTATGGAACATTATTATTACGTTACAAAAACCTGTTCTACAATCTTCAGTAGGGTAGTGTCAAGTTTTATCAGCTCAGATAAAACAGTGGATATCACAATCATCAGTAGTATAGTGTCAAGTTTTATCAGCTCAGATAGAGCAGTGGTAAGGACTGTTCCTATTGCAACTTTCAGTAGCATCAAGCTTAAAAATATTCAGTTTTTAGAGTAGTATTTAATTTTAGTTGGTATTTCATATATTTTATAAAGAGAGAGAGAGAGAGAGAGAGAGACCATGTCTGTTAGATCTAGCTGAAGAGTTTGACAACTCTCTGAAATAAAGGTCTGGATTCCAACACAATAATAATTCATCTTCTTTTGTGATCGTAGTAAATAATTTCAACCTCAATAATTGAATAAATCTAATTTTTCAGGTAAAAAGTTTGTTTGTAGTTCATTTTTGCTACGTATAATATTAAAACAATATGTTGTAACTAGGTTATGTTGATGCTGCTATGAAGACCACACTTTACCTACGAGAATATGAAGATATCCTAAACCAAGAAATGCTTTATGCTCTGTTAGGTAAGTAGCTGGATTATCATAAGTTACCCTTTGTCTCGAGCCTACACATCAGAGCTATTTTTAAATGATACTTCTTTTTCTTCATTATAGCTTTAGCTAGCTGTGCCAATCGTGCCTTTGGAACGTGCTCAAAAGCTTTCATTAAATTGGAGTCTCTCGAGACCTTATCTGAGGAGCAAAGAGAGGAGTACGAAAACCTAGCTTTAGAAATCTTTATGAAGTAAGTGATCTTATATTAAGTCATTATTTGTCTTTCAACATTTCTTTTAGGAAAGAAAAAAAACTACATGGAAAGAACTTGAATCTTTTATTGACTTAAAATAATTAGTTTGTATTTGTAATTTAGCTAATCTAAACTTTTCTCATCCAGACATCCTCCCAAAGATGCACGCAACACAAAGGCAGAGTGTACAACATGTGAGACTATGATACCAGACTGGTAAGTTTTCTTCTAGTGACTACCATAGTATGCTGAAGTTAAATTACTTTTATGTTTTTCACTTGTGTCATTATCTCGAGAATATTTTGTAATTTTGAATTGTTTGTTTTCCAGGTGTAATATTTGTCCCAGCTGTAACACCAAGTTTCCCATCTGTGTAGCTACTGGTCGTCCAATAATGGACACTGGTCAGAAGTGGACATGTTCTCGTTGTAAACATTATGCACACAAGCAGGACATGATTACTAGACAACACTGTCCTTTGTGCCACTACCCGTGTGTAAGTGATTAGTTATTCTATCCAAACCGTCATCCATATCTTGTGCTGTTCCCCACTTCAAACTTTTACATTGTGTACAATATATTTATATATAACTCACCTTCCTGGCTGTGGGATGTTGTAATAACAGTTAATTTAAACACTTCTGCTACTTGAAGAACAATCATACAAGGGGATGAACGTCACTTTTGTTCACAACCACTAGTAATTAGCTGCAGTATTCTAGTTCAAACACACGAATCCGTCAAATTAAATTTGCACTGATTACCTCACCTGATGAGTTCCACACTCCTGTATTTTAAAAATAAAGCTTGTATTGCAGGAATAAATTGTTTTTTTTTATTATCCAACATATAATCAACAAAGTTTGTGATATCTTACAAAACCGACATTTCTCTAAAAAAATTTATTACTGACATATGCATGATGTAGACGTAAAAGATTTTAGGTATCAAGAAATAACTTTGGTGACATCCTTTTCTCTCTTTTTTAATTTGTTTTTCAAGGACTCTGTTAGGCATTCCTGTACAATACTGTAAATTCCATAGCATGATTCCATCAACATTCCAAGTGCCTGTAAAACATAGTTGTTTCAAAACACACCATATAACTTTTATTACCAATGTGGGAACATTATATGCTCACATTTTGGTGTAGTATCTCGTAATAAATCATCAGGTTGTTTGTTACTATACATCCAAAGCAACTAAGAAAGGCATATGTGCATTTCATACCTATAAAACCAAACAATTAAGTTTTATTTTATATTATGAAAATTCCTTAACCAACAAAGCATAACGGTTTGATACGTAGAGGTTAGAAAAACGTGTTCGTAACCCCCACCACACACGTACACTCAGTAATTCTATGGTTGATAAATTTATTGTGTACACAGTGTATTTATAAACATCACACTCACTAGAATCACTCTCGATTTGCTCATTACAAGTTGAATCTCCTTTAAGTATTTGCTTGATTAGCATTTTGACTTCTGTATATTTTTAAGTTAAATTCAACTGTTCTTCTATGATAAATCTTTGTAGATTGAAACATGCAAAAAAACTGATTCTCAAAGACATATTCCTACTTGGTAAACTGTCATGCAAGTTATTACAGAGTTGTAGTCAAGGGTTCTGATTGGACAAAATCCTATGTTGCATCATTGTGTCTCCTTGACAACCAAGCAAATTTTAGCCAATGATTATGACTTTTGTGCACCAGCAATACCAAACATGGGGCACACATAGACCTAATTGAATGTTATTTCTCATTGCAACCTGTACGAACTTGCCCTCAAACCTAATTATATGTGTAAAGTAGCACAACATCGATCTTATGTATATATGGCTGGAACAATTTTAAAAAGACAAACTTGCTTGTTGCATCATTTTGTGCAAGTTCTGTATCGATTGGTAACGCAATGACCAAGATATTGGCATGACAGACAGGTGGCTTTTCACCTTTATATAGTAGAATATAGATTAAACGTGATGTCACAACCGTACTTTTACCACATGTACGTAAATTACAATACGCTATGGCTCTTATGAGATAATTAAAAAAGATAGAGTCCAATAATTACCGCTGACACTGTTTTGGGTTGTAGTTCCCCATCACACTGAAGTGCTGCCACCTGCTGGAGCAAAGGCATAAAACCAAGGACCATGTTTCCGTGCTCTCCACTCTGGTGATTATCCTATGGATACAGTTTATAAAACTAATAAACCTTTTTGTAATTTAGCCAAGCTTTCTTGGTTTTCATGCTAGTTAGTTAAGTTAGATATTACAAAGAATGAAACTTGCCTGTCCTTTAGCAGTAAAATATAGTGTCGTGATGTTTCCCTAACTAATGTTTGAATAACTTGTATATGTTGGTGCACATCCTTAGCATAGTTCTTGAGACGCATAACTCTTCGTAGAAAGAAGTGAAATTGTTTTTAAGTTTCAACTTTTACTGAATGAGCTACAAATGAAATTCAGGATTTTCTTAAATCACTTTGATTCTTAACCTTTCAAAACTTCAAAGTATAAAACTGTAGTTACCTCAGGTCTGTATTCCTCTTCGTATACTGGGTCTACTAAGGTCGTGGCCTCGTCCTGTCTCTAATACACAAGAGAAACATCATATAGATGGAACATTTTAAACTGGAGTACTTAAGAGTTATTAAACTTAAGATATACGATGAGAAAATACACCTGGTATTTTACTGAGAACCGTTTTATAACATTTAAATAAAGCTCTCTGTTATAGGTGTGTAACTTTCTGGCGATGAAAGAAATCTGTATTTAACAATCATGTTTATGTTAGAAATAAGCATACAAAGCTATGTAACAAAGTAATGGCAGATTTTTAAGGCATTACTTACTAAACCACAGCCAATCACAACGTCGTACATATCAATACCAGCATCAACCAAGGCCGCTCCTGCACACGTTATGGCTGCAGCCAAAGCTAGAAGGAAATAATAAAATTGACACTTTTCAAAAAGTGCTTTAACTTTATTTTGTTTTCATCTAAGATATTGTGATTAACTGTAAACTATGCCTGGCTGTTATTTATATCGTAGTTTCACCAACACTTGCTCATACTCTATCATATTCCTCGATTTTACATCACGACTTTGTTCACTTATAAGTATCTTCAACTCTTACAATTTCTCTAATTCTAAATCTGTGCAACATGTTTCAGTAAAAGACCTGGAAACCTTATCAAACAACCATCTTGGTGCAATATGTTTCAGTAGAAGACCTGGAAAGATTGGAATCACTAATTTCATCTGAAGTTAAGGGTGGGTTTAATCTTTTATTTACCTTACGAGTTTGTGTGAAAAGACCAGATGATCCTTTGCTGACTATAGGCTATCTTCAAGTAACAAATACAGCTGGTTCATGTGTGTGCTAACCTGCTTCCTCTTCCAAAAACGTTTGACCCTTCGAAGTGTGCTTCATCTCTTCATTGTAAGGATGAAATTAAGAATGTAAAATACCCGAATTTATTAAAATAACCACATTATAGACTTGATTCCTAAGCATGTTGAAGTAATTTCTACAGCTGAATTAGAACACTTGAACATTATCTGCTTGCATCCAGATGGTTGTTTGATAAGGACAAGTTTAAGATTTGCAAAAGATCTATATTTTTCTGATAGGGTGAATGACTTATGGAATGAATTGCCATATACAGTAATGGATGCCAGACCTTACAGGAATTCCAATCCTTTCATCCTGTTCTTTAACTCTTTGTCTCCGAGCAGCTGATAAATCGAAAACTAGAAATACTTCCGTTAACAAAATATCTTCAAGTTGATACAAGAAAGATGTGTTTTCAGCAATTTACGCAAGTATTTTGAAAGAAAATGACCATGCCTATTACTTCTAGTAGCTACGAAGTCATTTGATGGTTAATGATTTTGAAAGTGATGAATCTGACTTGGATAGATCTAGTGAAAGTGAGAGCCACGCGGTAGGCTCTTCAGGTGTTAGTACATGTAAAGACAAAAAAAAAAAAGACCAGTGGTGCTACTATGAAGAAACTAAAAGCAGGGTCTGGATCTAGACCTAACAAGAGGAAGAGGACAGTTGTAGAAGCAGAAGGAATTGTGAGAATTGTGAAGGTGAAACAGCACAAAGAGTAACTGAAGGAGGGGAGAGTGACGTGAACTTTTCATTCTGTAAGCCACAACAAAATGTGAAGCTGCATATTGATGAATGCCATTCACCACAGGATTTCCTCAAAGCTTTCCTTGACAAAGAAATTGTGGCCACTTTGATTTGTAGCATCAGTTGCATATGCAGCATAGGTTTTGGATAAAAAAAATCCTCCAATAAAATGATCATCATTTTGCCTCATGGTTGCCGGTTACTTATTATGAATGGGACAAGATGTTTGCTAGGGACAGGTTTGAGATCATCTACCACAGCATGCTTCATGTCTGCCTACCAGAAGCTGAAGACAAAGCAAAGATTGAGCCGTTTGTGGAGAAGTTGATGGAAAAGTTTCAGGCTGCCTTCTACCTGTATGAAAATGTGTATACTGATGAGATGGTTATTAGGTGGAAAGGCACAAGCAGTTCCATGCAAGCAAGCCCCCAAAATATCACGACATTAGGGCTTTGTGATTTCAGAAGGAACATAGCATATGACCTTGACATGAACTTTGGTCATACTATTGAAGTTCCTACAACTCAGTCATCATGTGTTTGCCAACAGGTCCCCACTCAACATCAACCATGTCAGCTTTCCTGCAGAAGTGAAAAGTCTGAAACTTGACCATCAGGATGTGAGGTGGTTTATTGGGCTCAGGAAACAAAACACTGTATGCTGGTTGGAGGGACAACAAGGCAAAAAAGCCATGTGTGTTGGTATCAACTAAAACTGCAGGAGCAAACACCATCGTTTGTGAATGACTATAACTATTGCATGGACCAGATGGTGGGATATTACAGTATGTACATCCACCAAAACCTGGAAGTGGTGGGATGACATTTTCCAGGACCACTGCACACAGTCTTGATCCTTTCCTTCATAGTCCACCAGATGTCTGGCTCCAACCACTTCATTCCCTTTCTTCCCATGTTTATGATGTCACCTCTGCAGCTTTGTGTGAAAACTTGCAGGCTCACTTTTTTTGTCCCGTTTGGCTGCTATAAACTGCACCAAATGTGAGCATTTACTGGGTCACTTTTATAATCCAGTGGTATACTTGCTCAAGTTTTGTTTGTACAGGATACACGGAGAGACCACATCTGTGTCCAAAGAAGTGCTTTATCACAAACAAAACAATGAGTAGCACTAGCCTAGACATGATGATTGCTATACATATACTGTATATATATATATTTGTAAAATGGTGTTCCCGATTTTCTTCATTTATTACTCTCCTTTGATGTAGTGCATACTGATGCACTATTCTTCAATAAAAATGCACTTTACTGATGGTTTCAAGAACAATTATGGATATATATTTCAATAGTCTTCATCTACCTGTCATTTTGGAGCTTTAACAGTGGTTATTCACCATGTGGCCTGTGGTAGGACTTGATAAGTTATGCTGGTGTGAATATTTCATCTTCTCAATCTTCCTACCATTCTTTCACAGTCTAAAATGAATTTATCTTTCTCAAAACCTTCATATTTTTAGTAGAATATGAACCTAGATCCATTTCCCTTTACTACGATGTATAATACTACCTATATTTCAATAATCAAGCATGCCTAAACTGCTTTGCAGGAAACATCCTCCAATACACTTACTTACGGCCATTTTTGCTCTGGAGATAGAGTTAAAATATAGCACAAAGAAGTCAGATGTTTTTATTCCCTGGATAATCATGTAAACTTCAATAAAATCACTCCTTACCCTTCTTTCTTTAAGAGAAAACGAGATGAGAGATCCTAATCTCCTCCAAACAAGAATCACTAGGAAACATAAGAGCTGGAAATGTCTAGCATAAATTTATATTTTTAGTAACTTCACAGTACTTATTATTTAACTGAAAAGAAAGGATAAGGGGAAGACTGAAGATGGATGGGTGTAAGAACAGGAGAATATGCAATTTGAATGTAGCTTTGGCACAGAATACGAAGGAGGAGAGAGCAAGAGTAAAAAATCAGACCTTAAGTAGTTGGGAAAAATCCTAAAAAGATTTAATAATTAACACAGAGTGTTCACAGTACCTGAACCATCATTTTCTAGAACCAACACAAAGATATCCACTCTGGATTTTGGAAACTTGTGCTGAAAAACAAACATTACAGTAAGTAAAAGAAGACAAATTCAGCTTGTAAACTGTAAGACTGAAAACACCAACTACACTAATTTTTTTTCCTCTGTTGTTTCAAACATTCAACCAGATTTTAGCTACTTACAAATTAAATTTCACCATATCTATAAAAAATGTGTTAAATATTATAAGTATTCTCATCATCCTAATTTCAAATGTTCATAAAATTTAAGACCTAATAATTTTTTACTGTGAGAGCAGAAAGCATAATATATAACTTTTCAACTCGTTCATTCAAAGAAAAATAATTCGAGCATATCAGAAAACAATGGGTGGTTCCATCTATGAAGTTGCACAGAAAACAAATGTTTCAAAGATCTTTAAAGAAACAAAAAATAAAGTATAAACACAACAGTAGCTTTTAGAATATTTATGAAATATTAAAAAACAAACCCACTTACAAGGCAAACAACAGGTTCAAGTGTTTCTCGAAGGACTGAAGATAAAGCTTTCTCCTCGTTGTCTGGCTGATACTGACGACGCACTTTACAAGAAAATGGTGCAAATTTAAATTCACACAATAACTGCCCCTTCATATCAAACTCTCTTCTTCTCTGAATTTCTCGAGGCCCATATCTATGAAGATTCAGAACCTAGATTAATTATTCGAGCATACCACACAACTTTTACTTATATCAAATAACTTTTTAAAAGGACAAATGTACTTAAATCCTTTAAAAATTTAGTAAAGAAATTTTACTGTTTTCCTGGTGACACAATCTATATAAGCGCAATTGTTTTTTTCTGTGTTTCTGTTCCTTATGCACAGCCACATCTTTCAAACTCCAAACTCAGGGGTAGAGATACAAATTTCAACGGATAGTAACATGGGCCACTTTGAAGCAGCAAAAATTGAGCCCAAAGTGACCAGTATACCAATTTTTGGAAACAGGATGGCCAATTGGTCTCAACTTGAAAAGGCTAGATTTGTGTGATCAAAGAGGGCTGTTACTTACATTTCTTCTCTGTGAGAGGACTTCTCCTGATCATTCTATCCATGATAATTTATGTGTTAAAACTTTGTGGAGCCTTCATTTGTGCTCTTTATGTCCATCTCTCTTTCTTCTACACATACATGCCTACTCTCAAATATGGGCACACACTCCCTCAACTAAATAGGCTTGATTCAGCTATATGATGACTTTACAAAAACGTTTGGTATAGACAAATTTACATTGTGTTGCAACAAGAAGAGAATAAATCAGTTCTTCATTAAACGGAATGATAATAGAGCCAGAATATGTTGTAAACAACACTTAACCACACAGCAGAAATCAGGACACCAAAGGGCAGGGAATTTTGATTTTGGAAACTTGAAATGTCATGCAAGAAGCAGGAGCAATGTACCTGGTTTTTGCTTTCATTAAAATAGCTTTAGCAAATTTTTTTCCCACATTGTTAATTTTATTTATTTTAATTAGAATAGTGAGTTAGGTAAAGAAATCATTATGATTTTTTTGGCTAGAAATCACTATTAATATGGTTGATTAATCGAAACTCGGGATATTTAAAGCCATTTTCATCTAAGCAACACTGGGTACTCTGCTAGTATGCTATAAAGGAAACTTACACTGTTGCTACCACCTTTGTTCTGTTCATCTCGATGTACGCTGAGCCTCGTGCTTGACTGTTGATACCAAGCCTTAAAACTAGAAGAAATAAATAAAGTACACCACGTTATAGATAAGTTTCAATCTTTACACACCTGCAAAATAATTCCACACATAACATTACAGCTTTGTGTTTTGGAACTTAATAGGTTTCAACTACTTTTTAAGACAACACATAAAATAACAAGATATGATGGACTGATTCAAACTTAGCATGAGTTTACATGAAACATATTATGTGTCTTACACAGAGGCCTCAGATCTTCAGCATGTCTTCCATCTGTTCGCTTTCTGTTGTCATCTAACTAAAAAGAAAGAAATAATTTATTTTATGCACTCTTTATGTAAATAATTTGAAATAAACAACATTTCATTATTTTAGCAATGGTGTGTTTGTTAAATTTCATGCAAAGCTACTCAAGGGCTATATGTACTAGTGGTCCCTAATTTTGAAGTAGACTAAGAGTACTTTTCAATAACAAATATTTAAACTGACCATCACATTATAATGTCACCATGGCTTAAAGGAGGAGCATGTTCAGCAATAGGTTTCTATCTAAGTCAAGTAACCTCACCACCAGGCTTTTAATAATGGAAAAGAATATATATAAGATATCTATCTTCCACTAGGACAACAGAATTGTACACAACACTGTGGGAAGATTAAAAATGAAAAATTATGAAACTAAACAACTGCAAAATGCGGTGTATATTATTAATAAAAAATACATAAAATTAGTAAATACTCAACAGGATAGAACTAATACACTAAGATCATATATAGATGCATAAAATAAAAATGCTAAACATATTACAAATTTAATTAAATACTTATCCAAATATTGTTTACAACGAAAAAATGTAGAATACTGATGGTCACACTTGCCAAAATAATATAGAGTTGTTTAAAAAGATATTTAAGAGGAAATATCAGAGTTACCTTGGAAAGTTTAATGAACATTGTGTTTGGATAATTGAATCAGACATTCTGAATACAATGGGTATTATTAACAGCATGTGTTATTGATTGGTAAATAAATGGTGAACGCATGTACAATAAACTTATTAATTTATCTTAAATGTTATCAATAATTGTCATTTCATTATTTGTGTCTGGCAGATTAAAACAGTACGTCATAGAATCTTGATACATATTTGTTCAGCACATAAAATACAACATTATACTTACCAAGTTAGTTTGTTTTTTAGGTATAAAAAGTAAAGGTGATTTTGTCCCTTCTGGACCGCAAATTCTTTTCCCATCCAAAGGCATTGGTCTAGTTTCTTTACCTGCTCAAAAATAAAGAAATACATGTATTGATAATAATGGTATGGTGACATTCTGTTTTATCATTACTGAGGAAATCAATTCTTAATGTAGGAAAAAAAAAGTTTATAAATTAAAAATATACTTTACTTCTATCTATGCAACAAGATCATTTATTAGTCTGTCACAAGTTCAGAACACTAGTTTGTCATGTTTTTAGTTTAATAACATTAATTTGTAACCACAATAATATGGTCTAAGTAGGCCAAAATATCTGTTGCAACCTTATAAAATAAATGCTCATCATTTTATTATTCCCAAACATCACACTCAATAAATACTTCTTTCTTCTGCCACAATTAAATGAATTACTCAATTAGTATATATATGTTACAAATTTCACACTGACTACTATTTCATTACGTACTACTACAACAATAAGGAAAATATAAGTCTTGCCTGTCAGTTGTAATAGAACCAATCGTTATTCTTAGTTGGGACCAAAAATCACTCGTAGACAAGTAAATCAATGTCCATGTGGGATGTCCAGTTATAACTTGTCGACCTAACACAGTAACAGTTAGGCTTAGGTGAAAGTTAAATTGTACGTAGCTTGACTCTCGAGTTTTAGATTCTTAATTATACAGCCAAAACAGTTTATCTTAAGTTTTAATACCGAAACACGTGTGCCTGTTAGGCTTAGTTCTGCACGCAATAAATATTATTACTTCCAACTAACAGTCAATTCGGTTGTGTTAGAGTTAAGTAAAAAACGTGCTTTAATTTTTTTTTGTAATCACCGGAACTGCAAGGGTGTCACCTACCGTTGAGTCTACTTTTTAGTGGTATAAAATATCTCTATGAAAATAACACTGTAACTTAAAACATTGTCATATTATTCAGGAACACGATCTCTAACCACAAAGTAGTAAAAAAACAAACGTTATTACAAATGTACAACGTTTCTACAAGCTTATGTCATATTAATATGGTGACATATGATTGTCCAAACATTAAACATTTGTAATAAATATTATTTTGCTACCCATTCAACTCGTTTCCAAGTTTTATTTTCTAAAAAAGAGAGTTCTTCGTTATCAAATGTGACATACATTGCTTTATATATTTTTTTTTAATTTTGAAGAAAAAGAAATAACAAAAAGATGAAATCAATAAACTTATCACCGTATTACTCAAAGTCTCTAAATACAGGTGAATTTATTTTGTTTTACATTTATACAAAGAAACCTCTCTTTAGATAAATATTATGACTAAAATGATTTTTGTTTTCCTCTGTTTTTAGTTACAAAAACTTAAAAAATATTTACAATTTTTGTCGACGAATGAATCTAACTGTTACAGAAGTTGTAGATTAATAAAATACACCTATATATATTTCATGAGAAGTAATTTAAAAAAGGTATTGTTTTAATATGAAGCATTGGTGTTTTATAACCTTAATATTAAGATAAATTTTGGTATGTTTATATATGATTCTAAATTTTTGTTTAAATTTTTATTAGTATATTAAAATGACATAAATTTTATCAATGATACCTAACCTAAAGCGAAAAGAAGGATTTGATTAGTGCAACAGTGCTGAAGCTGACTACTTAAGGAAAAAATATCAGCGACACGTCAAGAGGTGGTAGATAGGTCAATAACATGATAAGTAGTGGTTCCACTCAATGAAACGATTTGTTGTAGTAAGTACATTTTAAAAATTTTATATGTATATAATAACACATTTTTGAATGAAAAAATAATAAAAGAATGATTGAAGTACATTGATTTGTGAGAAAAGGATAAAAAAATGGTGTTTACAATGTAGTCATGTTTATGAATAGAAATATGCATATTT